GTATTCATTCATTATTCCAATCAAGCAGGCTGCCATGGCTGTATCAGGGAGCCACAGTGTCTGGGCGACGATCTAGTGTACTCTAAAAACTATGCAATTATTCTGAGAACACTATGATTCACAATTGTTGTTCTATACGAAATGATCTACTGAAGAACTGATTTAATATGTTTACCTAGCACCTGTTTCAACCATTACTACCCCAATCTTCCGAAAATAGGGCAGTTTCTGACCGGCATTTTTTTTTTCTAAAGGGGACCTCCAAACGCGAATATCACATCCGCTTGGCCTGAAGCTGCCTGGCGCTTGCGCCACAGGCGCCGGCGTGAAAAACCCTACATTACCGAATTCGCTGAAACGTATCATGCGAGAATTTATTCGACATCCTGATTACGGGCATCACATTCGGTCTTGGCGTTGACGTTAATGGAGGACACTACGATTATCTGTGCTCTTCTAAGGCTGAGCCTGGCCTGGTGGTCCTTTTCACAGGCTCAGCTTCAGCAGAGCGCTAAATTCCGCTGCCGTCAAAAAATGAATGCCATATTTGTGATCAGGGCATCAACAGACCTTATGGTTATTGATTTAGATGAGAAATGTGTGGCGCCAAACTGGCGCTTAATGGCTCCAAATGCCGCCGTACAAAAAATGAATGTCATATTCATGATCAGGATACCGAATAAGCCCAGTATGCAAGTTTACAGCGACTTTGAGAAAAGGGATGGCGCCAAATTGGCGCCTAGTGGCGCCGTATTGCGCCAGCGTCAAGAACGAGTGTCATTTCGCTGATCACGACATTTATTACCCTTTATGCGGCAACGTTTCGCTAAAAAATTTTTTTAGTTTTTGGGTAGTAATAAGTTGAATAGTGCCAATTTACCTTTGGACTCTGAAGGAATCTGACAACAGCAAGCATAAACAGAATTAAGTAAAGGCATGTTACCGCAAAGGGCTGCTTAACCACTCTCTTCTAGACCCACAAAAATGGTATACAGTGCTAAAAACAATACCTAAAATGGCCAGTGAGTTTCGGGACTTCAAGGAATTCCCGGATTTCATCAGAGGATATATTTGTGTCTGCATCATACAGGAATATCCTGCTGGACTAATCTTCCACGTTTCTCATCTTATTCGAGTGCGGGCCGCTACTTCCGAGTCGCGGCGAGTGCGACTTTGCAGATACGCATACGCAGCATTCGCACCAAAACCCAATATGCTCGTCCGTTCGTCGACGTTGCACTGCAGCCATTATACTCCTTATCCCTGAGACGGGGTAGGCGTGGCATTCGAACATGGCACAGAACTGGTTACTCGTGGGATATTTCAATTTGAGACAACCGCCATCTTGTTCTTTGTTGGACAAAGACGTGACCACATTTGGGTCAAAATGAAAATATCTTCCAAAAGCATAGCCACCACGACGTTAGTTGAAGTACGCAGCCACGCCTACCTCATCTCAGGGATTTCGAGTGTAGCTAGAAAATACTCTATGCGCGCTATGCCGCCACGCTTCGCACCCGAAGTGTCAATTAGGGTCGCCCACCGCTCGCACAGTGGCTAGATCAGATTTCGAACAAACTCGTGCATCTATCAACCAGCCTTTCACTCTTCGGAACCACTTGTTACCCAGACTTGACCGCTATGACAAGGCTAATTACAAGGGCTGGCAATTGGTAGAAAAAGAACACCGACTGACTTGCATATCGGCTAGCTCTTGCAGGTAAGTGTGTAAGCCTGATCATATTCGAGTGCCGTCATTATTCTGCAGCACCTCGCATATGATCAGGCTGTACCTAGAGTGCGCGGTGCTTCCGTGAGGAGGGCTCTTTCCTTTCCGATGATTTTTTTCTCCCGTTAGAATGAAAGCTAGGCGCTGGTCACCGTGACGCGCCGTGCTTCTGAGTTTCATTGGAAATCGTGGAGGCACTCGAAATCTCGACCTTATACAAGAGGTCGAAGGCAGAACCCACGATCACTTGTGGTAAACTAAGCTCTTCGGGAGAGATAGTGTGGACTGCAACGAACAGCCTTGTATAACTTTCACGTCAGAAAGTGGTAAGGTAGCGGCGACAAGGCACGTGGTTACTCAAGTGACTCCGCCCACGTTGATAGATGTCTAACCTGCTGTCTTGCTCGTTTCCATACTCTCTCGCTGCTTTCTGTGGCCTCTCTTCTGGTATCCACATTGGTTCCTTGTCTCTCGCTCGGTACAACTACGGCCTTTCTTGGAGCGTTTTCGACGGTTCCTTTCCTTTTTTTCTTCACAATCAAGTAATCTAGCACATACACGCCTGTTTCCATCCCCACTTCCTACAAGT